GAAAGCACAAGTCTTAGTCTAGATTGGGTTGAAAGTACAAGGAATGGGCATATCTCAAGTATTTTGTAAGGAGCGTGTTCAGCCTGCAACTTAAATGAGTTCCGTTTATCGATTATCATGGCTAGGATGGGTCGCAGCTCTTCAAAATCGTATTTATTAGCAGAATGACACTTGTGTATTGGAACGACACTTGTGTCGTTCTGTTGATTTTTCTAATATTTTGCTACTTTTCAAGACAAGGACGTCAAGGATTGGACCCCCCAACCTATGAATGACGAAAATATTGATTGTGTGGCAACTAGCGGTGGAATTGATATAGAATATAAGGTATGAAAGGGTGAAAGCATAAGTCTTAGTCTAGATTCGGTTGAAAGTACAAAGAATGGGCATATCTCAAGTATTTTGTAAGGGGCGTGCTCAGCCTTTAACTTAAATAGGTTCGATTGATCGCTGGTTTTTCAAAATCGTATTTATTGGCACAACGACACTTGTGTTTTGGAACGACACTTGTGTCGTTCTGTTGATTTTTTCAATATTTTAATACTTTTCAAGACAAAGGACATCAAGGATTGAACCCCCTAAACTAAGAAGGATGAAACTGTTGATTGCGTGACAACTAACGGTTGAATTGATATAGAATATAAGGCATCAATCGATGAAAACACAAGTTTTAGTCTAGATTCGTTTCAAAATACAAGTAATGAGTGTATATCAAGACTTTTGTAAAGAACGTGTCCAGCCTACTACTTAAATGGGTTCAGTTTATCGATTATCGTGGTTTGGACGGGTCGCGACTCTTCAAAATCGATTTTAGAGCCAGAACGACACTTGTGCCATAAATCGATTTTAATATGATGAGACGTGAGACGTGAAAAATATGCTTGAAACCATAAAGCATATTCATGTGAATTGATGCATGTGTGTGTGTGTGTGTGTGTGTGTGTATATATATATAAACCACGTGTTATCAAATTAATTTTGGTACACGTGAGAGTTGACAATGCTCGAAAAAAAATTATTACCTTCACAAAACTTTGAAAAATTAAGATTTCGTGTTGATAATGTGTTATAAAAAGAGAGAAAAATAGAAAATAATAAGAGAAATGAATAAACTTGTGTGTTTTATAATGAGACCCAAAGCCCTATATTTATAGGGAAGGAATAGAGATACATGTGATAATAATA